ATGCCTTGGCAACTACCAATAATGAAAAAGTTACTGAATAAATAAAACAAAAATATATTAAAGCTACATCAACAAATAATAATAATGATAAAATACTAAAATTAATATAAAAAAAACCTAATATTGATACATACTATTATATCTATTATATTATATAAATTATACAGTAAATATACTAAAAGGACACTGTTTATTGAAATCATTTATTTTAATAAAAATATATTATTAAATAGTAATGTCTTGTTAGTTTGCATGTACATTTTTTTTAACATAACATGAATGAGAAATTAACAAATGTCACTTAACTTAATGTCACAATCTAAAAAACAACTGATATGAAAAAAGTTAGTTTTCTTCATTTTTAAGTAAAATATAATTGTGTTTCTGTCTCATTGTGCTTTTGGGATGAAATATAACATTGTTTATGGGATTCACCCATATACAGTATGTCTCTTTTTAAATGTCTCACTGGTGTTTTCTGCCTCCATCAGGATGTGAAGAGGGTCTCCAGTCCATCTTACTCCTATCATCATGGCACCACCCTGCTGTGTTACACAGAAACCTCTCCTCAACACCCGCCGTCTTCTCTGCAGGGATTGTTTGGGCCACCGGGGGGCGACAGTGAGGGCTCTCATTCCAGCGAGGGCAGCCACGAGACGGGCGACTCGGGACGCTACTCTCACGACGACACCGAGGCGACTAACCTGTCTCTGGGTGTCGGCAGTCGCCTGGCCTCCCTGCACGGCGAGGATAGCGAAGCGTCGGACGAAACGCCCGTTCACGAGGTTACAGAGAAAGAGCTGCATCCCCACGTGATCCTAATGACGGAAACGACACTTCAGAAACAGGAAATGATGGAGCCACATCCTGTTTAGCAAAAAACCCTTGTGCTCTCTGGCGTCCCCTTCTGCTTAAACGGACTACTGAGCAGTGCTGGACGACCTGAGACATCCACAATGTCCTCTTTCTCGGTGAATGTATTTGTTTCACTCTTTTTCTGTTCGTTTTTATAAACCATTGTGTGTTTGAAAGAAACTAGAATCTCACCACCATGAATGTGTTCAAAAAAGGTGCGACATGAATGTCACGTTTTCTGACGTAACCACAGCGAGAGAGAGCGGAAGAGCCTCTCTTCACTTCCTAATCTACCTCAGTTTATCTTTAAGTATTTAATGTCCGCTTATACACTCGACAGCGTTGTTTTCATGTTAGTTTGTGTGTTTGTTTAATCCTGAAGTATGAGATTGCAAAGGTTTTTTACCTGTCCTGCTGTGTGGCGCAATCGCAGCCAATCAGAACATAGTTGCTGTTTAATATGCAGGACTTTGGACCAATAGGAGACATCCACAATGTCCTCTTTCTCGGTGAATGTATTTGTTTCGCTCTTTTTCTGTTCGTTTTTATAAACCATTGCGTGTTTGAAAGAAACTAGAATCTCACCACCATGAATGTGTTCAAAAAAGGTGCGACGTGAATGTCACGTTTTCTGACGTAACCTCAGCGAGAGAGAGCGGAAGAGCCTCTCTTCACTTCCTAATCTACCTCAGTTTATCTTTAAGTATTTAATGTCCGCTTATACACTCGACAGCGTTGTTTTCATGTTAGTTTGTGTGTTTGTTTAATCCTGAAGTATGAGATTGCAAAGGTTTTTTACCTGTCCTGCTGTGTGGCGCAATCGCAGCCAATCAGAACATAGTTGCTGTTTAATATGCAGGACTTTGGACCAATAGGAGTTCAAAGGGGGCGGAGCTACCCGGCTCATTGCATCACACATAGTTAGGACGGTGTTTTTTATCTACCTCAGGTTCATAAACGTTAAACTTTCAGTTGATGGTTTTACTCTGATGTTTACGTATACAATTTATTTGCGACTCTACTTCAGGTCACGTTAGATTTCTCAGGTCTGTCGTACGAATGTGTGTATTTTTGCTCTTATAGTCCCTGTTTTATACTACCTCGTTTTACCTTTTGATTTTTAGCAGTAGTTGTGTTTGATTTCTTTGTCTCAGGGATGATTTGAAAGCCATGTGTTTTGTACAGTGACATGGTTTGATGGACAGGGTTTTTTCCGGGCGGTTGACCCGTGCTGAATGTGTGTTTTAGCTCTGTTGTGGAGATGGATTTCTTTTTCCGTAGTTTATTTCTTCTTTTGAGTACGAAGTAACCAAAAATGCTGGGCGTTTCTTAGTTCCTTAGCTTTAAACAATGGCCTTAACGTGTGAAGAGCTGCAGATGAGAGATGGATTCGACTGCAGTCCGAGTCAATGTTCTGAACACCAAAAATAATAATCAAATCTGAATGATCAGGAAAGCTTTTTGCCTCCAAAGATATCTATTTTTCTCGACATACAGTATATGTACTACTGAGTACGCATTTGAGTTACTTTAGTGCTTTGAAATAGTGGATGCTATTTTAGATTTAGGATCATGAGTGTAGCACTTGTCTTTCACATTAGTTTGGAGTTGTTTTGTAGTTTTTTTCACGCAGCTGAACGTGCAACGGTGACACGCCATCATCCGCAGCCTGTTTGCTCTTTCGTTTCTTCTTTCTGGTTTGCTGGTCTTTGGGATGATATGATATATATGAGATTATCCGTGAATCAAACCAAAGATGTTTCACCCAGAGACCGGCGAACGCCCAAAAAAAGAGCTGCTTTAAAGAACTCAGAGACGTCTTGATGTCCTGAGACCAAATGAGGTGGAGATGCAGAAGTTCAGCATTACAAATCTCATGAATGCATGTCATATTTCACTCCAAAATCAACAGAAAAAAAAATCAAGAAGTTAAATTGTGCATAACGACAATTAAAAAAATAAAGACCATTTCGATTATTTACATTGTGGTGTTATTTGCATGACAGTTAAGCACATTTCACCCCCAAATTCGTATTACCATGATGTCTTTATTATATTATATAAAAAATAACTTAAATGTAAACATCAGAAATTAATAGCTTATTTGTCATGTTATAAAATAATTGTCATGATATAAAATAGAACATCATTTCATATAAAAATATTTTAATGTAAATCATAAATTAATTGCTTAATTGTCATGAAAAATATATATTTTGATGCTAATCATAAATTAATTGCTTATTTGACATGATATAAAATAATTGTCATTATTTGATATAATTGTCACGATATGAAATATTTTTTTAAATGTAAATCATCATACAACAATATCATGCTTAACTGTCATGGTATAGAATATATGATATTTTTAAAATGTAAATAATAAATTAATTGTTTAATTGTCATGCAGTATATAATTGTTTTTTTTGTTTTTTTTTGGAGTAAAATATTAGCCGGATATTTTCTTGATTCTTCAGCTTTATGAGATTCACCTCCTTAAATCAAATGTCACAGTGATCAGTTTCCCTCATTGGAGTTTCAAGTTCAACATGGATGTTATTGTACATGAAAATTATATACAGAGAGAGAGAGAGAGAGATATTATATTATATGATATTAACATTCCATGCGGCTGAAATTCTTCTCAATCAGGGGAAATCGATTGCTGGCTGTATTTCAATCAGAGAGACACAATCAGTTTTGAATTTTTCTTTTTGAAGCAAACAGCCTGAAACCAAAGACTGTGGTCGCCGTTGCATCAATGTAGATTCTTTTGCATGTGTTTTGTCATTTTTCAAAGCTTTATTCCTGAGTAGATTTGATTTCTGCTTACTGAAAGGACATCAGGAAACCAAAAACAGTGTTACACGGTCGTGCTTTCAATCGTTTATGACTTTCAAGCAAACCAAAGATGATGGATTTCAGCCTTTTGTAACTTTTGTAACTTTTCTCACTGGAGGAGAATTATTGTATTGTGCTTTGTACGTTTTTTGCAGGGGATAAATGATGTACCCTGGATTCTGTGAAAGTACTGACTGAATATTTGGTGAGAAAAGGTCTTAGCTGGTTTAAACTGGTCTTAGCTGGTCTTCCAGTCTTTTCAAAGATCTAGCTAAAAAGTCTTCAGACTCAGACCAGCTTGGGCTTGTTTTCAGCAAGATTTGATGCCGGGATTGATGTTTTTGATATACATTTCAATATGCTTTAGTGTTTTAGAACAATATTGATTGTTGTGTTAACCTGTTAACTTCACATCGGGGTTTTCTTTGTGTGTGCAAGTGTAATTCCATGCAGTTTTTTCTGATTTCTTCAGCCACAAGTTACGAATTAGAAATGCAACGTCATGAAACGTGTCAAATGTTTAGCATCTGCGTGTGCTGATGACCTCTGTAAGGTAAAAACTCAGGTTTACCCATCCACCTAATACAGGTGATTTTGCTCAGGAAATAACATCAGTCCAGTTTCATGTCACTTTATTCATTGCTTAAACTCTCTTGATTTTCAGTTGAATTCTGTTCTATTATTCTTCTGTTGAAGTTGTTTGTTCTGAATGTGTTTCTGAACTGAAGGGAAAAGGGAGATCTTTGTAAACTCTTCAAGCAGTGATGGTTTGGTTTCCATCACACTGCAGCAGTAAATGTATCTATAAGCCTTAAAAACTGAATGTATTTCTTAATAAATAAAATTCCACCTGTCAATATTCTGCTTTACTTTCCAAATATATGTACCAGTTTTTTTGTTCTGTTCAGCAATACGGTGTAATGTTTATGCCGAAAGGTATACATTTACAGCAGTTACCCCCGCCACAAATAAGATTGTTTATTTAGAATGATAAAAATGTTGAAAATGTCTCTTTTCTCTTGAAAATGTTTTCATGTATTTATATTAGTGCTGTCAGCATCTCAAATAAAAGTTTTTGTTTACATAATGTGTGTGTACTGTGTATATTTATTATGCATATATAAATACACATGCATGTATATATTTAAGAAAAATATGTTTATATATTAAATATATATATAATGTAAATTATATGAATATATATATATGTAAAGACATATTTTCAAAACATACTATATATATATATATGTGTGTGTGTGTGTGTTTATATATACAAAAAAAATATACAGTACACACACATGTAAACAAACACTTTTATTTGGATGCGATTAATCAAGATTAATCGATTGACAGCACTCATTTATATTATTTTATTATTCGATATTACTGTTTTATATATATATATAAAGGCACACTCACATATACAATTTTGTATATAAAGATATAGAGTAGTGCAATTTATAGTGCAGAAATAGGCAAAATAACAAACAAAAAATAAGGCAAGTTAATGGAAATAAAGGAAAGTGGCTTTATTAGAGAAATAATGATAGATTTCTGACTTATTTTTTCAAAATAATCTTTAATAGTTTTAAATAAAACAAAATAAAATATGCCTTTGACATTATTTTGCAGCTGTGCCCTGTGTTGCAGCCACACAAGATAAATGAAAACGTTTAAAATGACAGCACTTTATAATATTATAACATGACATCAGCAAATCATCATCATCATCATCATCATTGCACGGCTTCATCAAATGCAACACTTCAGACACAAACACGTGCTTTGATGTAGAGGGGTTTCTACACACACACACACACACACACACACACACACACACACACACACTCCTCACAAACTTTGGTGCAGCTTTCCTGATGGCGCAGTTACTTAAACTACTATGGCGAAGGCTTAGCTATTGAATATTAATTAGGCCGTGCTGACGTTCTTGTTTACGGCTTGAGGACGCCCTATTTAATATTAATGACCTCTGAGAACGCTGTGGGCTAGGCCTAGTTTTTTTTTTTACTAATAATGCCTTACATCAGAACAGTACAAAGAGAAATATTCAAATGTAAAAAAGAAAAACAATAAAGGATCAACAACATTAATAAATGAAACAGTGCCAGAGGACAGTAACAGTAAAAAATAAAAATAAATAAATAAAGGGCCTCACTTTCTACTATAGCATACCTGCTTACAATATTATAAGTTCTAATAGACTTGTGCAGTTACACATGGAATTACAATAAAGCTTGAAATCGTTTATAAAATGAGAATTTTTTTTGGTTTGGAGCCTGACCACTTCATTTTATGAATATGAAACTTTCTCATTAAAATTAACAATTTTATGAAATATGCTTTATCTTTCTCAAAACCATGATCATTTAAGTGTATTATTACATCAAAACCACTCAGACGTCTCTGTCTCATGAATATTAAACAGATTACGTCGATGACGTCGTTTGGTATACTTTACGTGGCCGAGGATTAGCTCATGAATATTAATAGCGAAGCTATTGATATAAATCAAAGTTACACCATTTTCCCGTTCCTTCCGTGCGTTTGAGTCATGTGAGGGAGCCTGTAATGTCCACAGAGCAGGATAAAGATTCATGCTTTCTAAAACGAAACCGAGGTAACGTGGGTTTGATTCGGTGTCGGTCGTAATTACCGGAGCGACAGCAGCAGTCTCGCGGCCTTCAGGCCTTTAGTGAAGAACAGAAAAGTAGACCGCGACATATTCAGATGCGCATTTGAAAAGAAAAGCATGACAGGCCTCAAAGTGAATGCTGTCAGATGAACGATACTTTCTAGCGAGTTCGGGGGAAGTTTGGAGTTGATCAGCAGGCGAGAGAAAATCATACCAGAGTTTGTTTATTAAATGTACTTAAATCGAGCATGCAACAGTCAAACTGGCCATCAAGCGTTTATGCAACCTTAAAAAGTTACAGGTTAAAAGTTACAAGAAAGTACAGTGAATAAGACAATTAATTAAAACATAAACATGTGTGTATGTGAATGTATAAATGTAACAAAAGCAATTTGCAATGAGACCGATATATTCAGTGTGCTATATTGAGATACTTTTTATTGCTATTTTAAATTCGTTTTTGTTTTTTCATTATATTTTTGACTGCCTTTTTTTTATGTCTATATATATCTATAGATTTTATTTAAATTAGTAATTTTAGCACATCTAAATGAAAATGAGAAATGTTTCTTTGGCAACTAGCTGAAGTAAAATAACATTTAACTTTATTTCGGTCAACAGAAATAGATTTTTTTCTTCTTCTCCTTTTCATGTTTTTAGTTTTAGTTAACTATAATAACCATGGTGTGCTGCTGCCATGATATGGTTTATTATGGCGTATTTTAACTGAAATTAAACATGCACAACACTGAAAATTATTATTGTAATGATTGATGAAATGTGAATTTTTGTCGCATTTTCAGCAAACACTTTAAGACACTATGCAATCTAAATAGAATTTTTTATTACCTTTTATGTCTACTAGCTTTGAACTTTTTCATCTCTATGCTAATTTACTAGTGAAAGTTGATTAAATAAATGATATGCACTTTTAAAATGCACAGTCTTATGAGAACATTTTTTTTTTGATGACACACTGTGTGTGATGTAATCTAAAGACTGTTGGCTAAAGAACAGAAACGAGTCCTTCTTTAGGTTCAAACCAAACTCAATAATAAATCCGTCAAACTGTTTCTCAAGCCATTATATGGGGATGTTAAAATTAAGAGCTTATGTTTTATAGTGCTATAGACGTGATATGTTTCAGATTGAGCATTAATACTTTAGATGATCATTTTATTTGAACTCAGTTTGTGATTTTCCAGGAGGTGAAGGTGGGCTGCTGTTGGGAGAGAAAAAGAGACGCAAGTCTAGCACACAGGTACTTTTTTCCCTTTAGTTTTCTTCATAGACATTTCAACACAAGTTTTCAACATGACTCACAATTTTACCACATGCATTGCCAATGGTTTGAAATAGAAACAACAGAAATAATATAAACTATTATATAAACAGTAGATTTAAAGTTTAAATAACACATATTATTGCAAAATACATACAGTGCTGCTCAAAAGTCTGGGGTCAGTACGATTATTGTTCAAAGAAATTAATACTTTTATTCATCAAGGATGCTCGCTTAAATTGATCAAAAGTGACAGTAAAGGCATGTATAATGTTGCAAAAGGTTTCTATTTAAAAGAAATGCTGTTCTTTTGAATTTCCTGTTTATCAAATTATTTGGATTCCACTAAAATATGAAGTAGCACAACTGCTTTCAACATTGATAATAGAAATATTTCTCGAGCAGTAAATCAGCATATTAGAATGATTTCTGAAGATCATGTGACACTGAAGACTGGAGTAATGATGCTGAAAATTCAGCTGCGCATCACAGAAATAAATTACATCTTAACAGATTCACATAGAAAACTGTTATTTTAAATTATAATAATATTTTACAGTTTTTACTATATTTTTGATCAAATATATGCATTCTTGGTGAGCAGAAGAGTCAAAAACTGTAAAAAAAATAAAATAAAAAATGTTTGCCTACCTCAAATTTTTTAACAGTAGAGTAGCTTTTCATCCATGTGTTTAGGAAGTGGAGGAAGATCCATAAGAAAAGAAAGACGCATGTTAATGTCACTAAATATGGAAAAAGTGCTCTTTGTCAGATGCATCAGAGCTCTATATGAGCATTCAGGAGTGAAAATAACTCTCTTTCTCAACAGGCGCCATCCTTCTCTCCTCTGTCCGAATATGCGCCGCCTCCAAACCCGAGCGCGGATCACCTAATAGCCTCCAACCCGTTCGATGACAATTACAACTCACCGTCCCTGAAGCCGCTTCCTCCTGCCAGCCCTTATTTTGGCCACTCGCATTACCCAGGGTTCAGCGTTCATCTTGATAATGTCAGATAACTTTGACAGAAAGGTATGTAATGAATTGGGTTTAAGAGCTGTTAGCTAAGCACACAATTAGATAATACCGATTTAAATGAATGCAATGCTTCATTTCGTTCAGTCTGTGGTGTAAAAAGGTTGCATTAGCAATAAAAGAAAAAACACTTCAGCAAAACATGGTCAGGTCAAAGTTTCTGAATAATTTTTGGTCCCAAATTTTTTATCAGTTTTACTGGTAGTCCACCGTATGAAGAATTTTTGGATATAATTGATCACAGTTTAGTCCACTGTATGAAGAATTGTTGGGTATAATATGTCACAGTTATACCCACTTTATTTTGCTATCCTCACTTACATAAATGAACTATAGTGTCCTGCACCCACAAGTAACAAAATATCAAAAATTATATCTGGTGTCTGAATAATTTTTGGCTTGACTGTATGTGTGTGTATTAATATATATATATACACACACACATATAAATATACACAGTTATGTAAACACAAACATTTATTTTGGATGTGATTAATCGATTTCACAGCCCTATTATAAACATCTTTAGTGTCACGTATGATCGATTTAATGCGTCCTTGATGAATAAAAGTATTAATTTCCTTCAAACTCTTACTGTCCCCAAACTTTTGAAATGTAGTGTAGTGTGGCTCTGTAATGTAATATCTGTGCTTATGAAAGCGCCCTTCATTTCTTCATTTTTACAAATTTCATCTTTCCTGCAGAACCGACCCTTTCTGACAGTGATTTCTTTACATCACGTGTTTATTTCGAAGTAGTTGGTCGGGGTCGGATATCTTCCTTTGGTTCACTTTGATCCGTCTATGAAAACATAGTCACTTAATATCTGGGATTTTACTGATGATGGGTTTTTATTCATTCTTACATCACAGCTGTGTCAGTATCTCAAAAACACAAGCTCTTCATTTTCTTTATACAGAACGATGTTCAATCTGTCAGATTACCAATACTCTGTGAGCTGAAGAAGACGTGGTGCTCTGAAAACTTCACAAACATTCAGTTGATATGGTTTTGTAGATGCTGATCATTTATTAGTGCACATGACTGGGTCTTTCCCATTGAATGTAGCTGTAGAGTACTTACTGTAGTATCATCATCATGTGTCGTGTGTAACTGTTGAGGGTACTAGCAGCATGTAGTTTAGTCTTAGTGAGCAATATTCCTGGATGTGCTGTATATTGCATTTTGTTCCTTCTCAAGAGTTGATTGTTTTATGATCAAATGAAGTGAAAATCTTGAATGAACAGAGCCAGAGAACAAGTTGAAACTTTGGATGCACTTGATACTTTTGTAAGTTTTGTTATCTGACAGCTTTCTTTACTGGGTTTATTTGAGGGTTTTTTGGCCAACATTGAGGAGGTTTGTTACTTGAAGGCCTTATTTCGGGGCATGATGCGTGAAAGAGCACACAAAAATGTATTTATGGAGTCAAAAACACTTTGTGCATCAGCACTTTTAACCATTTATCTCCTAAAATTCATTAATTTTATGACTCAATGTTCATTGGTGAATCTCACAAAATCAAAAAAAAAAAAAAAAAACGTGCAAGGCATAATTCACTTCAAAGGAAATAAATAAATTGTTACATTTTAAATGAAATTAAAACAATAAAATAAAATAAACTGAAAATTCAGCTGCGCATCACAGAAATAAATTACATCTTAACAGATTCACATAGAAAACTGTTATTTTAAATTATAATAATATTTTACAGTTTTTACTATATTTTTGATCAAATATATGCATTCTTGGTGAGCAGAAGAGTCAAAAACTGTAAAAAAAATAAAATAAAAAATGTTTGCCTACCTCAAATTTTTTAACAGTAGAGTAGCTTTTCATCCATGTGTTTAGGAAGTGGAGGAAGATCCATAAGAAAAGAAAGACGCATGTTAATGTCACTAAATATGGAAAAAGTGCTCTTTGTCAGATGCATCAGAGCTCTATATGAGCATTCAGGAGTGAAAATAACTCTCTTTCTCAACAGGCGCCATCCTTCTCTCCTCTGTCCGAATATGCGCCGCCTCCAAACCCGAGCGCGGATCACCTAATAGCCTCCAACCCGTTCGATGACAATTACAACTCACCGTCCCTGAAGCCGCTTCCTCCTGCCAGCCCTTATTTTGGCCACTCGCATTACCCAGGGTTCAGCGGCTATGGGCTGCCCAGGATGCCTTCTCCATACGGAGCTCCTTACCAGATGCGAAACCAGCCTCATCCGTTTTCCCAGAATCCCATGGGCTTCAAACGGTCACCGGGGTTTAATTACAGCGAAAACCCAAATTACGGGCAGCTGTTTAGCAGCGGCGGCAGCAACAGCTTCATGCAATTCAGACAAAGTCCAGGAGAGCATGTCAGTCTTCAAAATCTGAATCAAAGTGCTAGTCCAGCTGGTCCGGTTTTCGGTCCAGAGGGAAATCCAGCCCGGGATTTGAGCCCAAATCTCTCTCATCAACAGAATAACTTCACGCAATCCAGCACGCCAACACCCAAACAGGACTCAAGCGAAACGGTGAACAAAAGCGTCCCCTCGCAAAACCAGAACTGTGAAGAAAACAAGACTCAGGACAATGAGCTAAAGACGAAGAGCGGAGCGGAAAAACTCAACGGCGTGCTTCACGCCAACAATGAAGCCTTGAAGAAGTCGCCGAGACCCGCAGACGCCCGCAGGGGCGGCAATAACGCTGCTTTGACCAATAATAAAGTTGTGAACAGAAGGAGCACTTCCTCTTCGTCCGAGCCGGTTTATCCGTGTGGCATATGCCTGAGCGAAGTGAACGATGACCAAGAGGCTATTCTGTGCGAAGCCTCGTGTCAGAAATGGTTCCACAGAGTTTGCACAGGAATGACCGAGACGGCGTACAATCTGTTGACGGCTGAGACGTCTGCAGTTTGGGGATGTGACACTTGCGTGGAGGATAAAGGAGCACCGCTGCTTAAGACACGAGAGGCATCGGACCGTCGTGAGCGTGACTAACAGTCACTGATGTCCCTATCGTTGAGTTCCAGAGTTCTGCTGGCTCCTTGTGTGTCTGCTCACCCAGAATGCTTTTCTATTGTTAAAAACAAATTTACTTTTTTTCAGTGAATCACAAAAGGGGATGCGACACTTGCGTGGAGGATAAAGGAGCACCGCTGCTTAAGACACGAGAGGCATCGGACCGTCGTGAGCGTGACTGACAGTCACTGATGTCCCTATCGTTGAGTTCCAGAGTTCTGCTGGCTCCTTGTGTTTCTGCTCACCCAGAATGCTTTTCTATTGTTAAAAACAAATTTACTTTTTTTCAGTGAATCACAAAAGGAGAAAGTCGTAGGGGTTTGGAACAACGTGAATGATTTGAAATCAGTTCCAGAATGTTTGGGGTTGGTAAGATTCTTAAATCATTTTGAAAGACGTTTCTTCTGTTCATCAAGGTTGCGTTTATTTAATCAAAAATACAGTAAAAACTGAAATATTATTATAATTAAAAATAGCTATTTTTATGTGAATATATTGTAAAATGTAATTTATTTATGTGATCAAAGCTGAATTTCAGCTGAATTTCTTCAGTGTCACATGATCTTCAGAAATCGTTCTAATATGCTGATATAATTCACTTCAAAGGAAATAAATAAATTGTTACATTTTAAATGAAATTAAAACAATAAAATAAAATAAATAAATATTGCTTAGAGAAAATAAACATTGTAATACTTCATTAGTTAATTAGAAATGAATGAAAAAAGCTCTATCTGGATGCATTACCTGAAAACATGTTTTTGTTAGATTCACCCATATATCATCTCAAATGCATAACTTTAATTTTCCACTTTTTTTTTCATTTAGAACATTTTTAAATCCAGCTACATCCGTGTTGATTCAGTTTGTAACGTTACATGTTCCCTTGTTTTGTGTGTCGCTCCTCAGAGAACGTTGTCTTCCATTGAGCTGGGAAACATTGTGGCGTCGTGAATGTGAACTTCATGTCTTGCTCTCTGCCGTTTGATTTCCAGATGTTTCCACACGTTTTGCTCTAAAGATGTCTTAGCTTTGCGTACGCTTGAGTGTTTACTCACCGTGACAGATATGTTCTTTAATATAAGAGTGCCAATCACAAAACACACTCATCTGATTTCATTAAAAAAGCACTTGTTGTGACAAATTCATGACAGTGTTCATGTTAGAGAGAATGTGTGTGAAGGACAAAATAATGTAGGAACAATTATTGTATAATTGGCCACATTTGACTGTTGACCCCTGGTGCCTTACATGTGTTTTATTTTTTAAATATGATATTTAGATCCTGAGCTGATGGCATTGTGCAGTGAATCATTTACACACTTTTCAATATGAGGTGAGAATACTAATTTTATAACAGGACAATGAATGTACGGAGCCAATAAACCACAAATACCGAACAATATGAAGTGAAAACATTTGTGGCATCCTCAAAACAAAGCTGGTACAGCGCATACAGTTTACTGAATGTAAGTTAAGGTTGTCTTGTGTGTTGTAACTCATATTTCTGTGTGGAAAAGGGTCTTGTTTAATAGAGAAACCTCGGCAAAGCCATAATTCAAATGTATTGTTAAACTGTTTCAGTCTCACTTTGAATTGCGTTTAATAAAAGTGATTTTAAAAAGACATTTTTCTCTATGCAGTGTCAGGTAATTTTTCTGAAGTGATGCACAGCTCTGATATGTTTTATATGGAATAGTGTTCGCTCACAAAAACGTATCAAATTAATTCTAAACAACCATTTTAACAAAAATAGATAATTGTACATTGTGCACTCTGAATTATTTATTTAAAACGTTTTTTTTTTTTGGAGACGATAATGAACGAATGCCATTCCTAGTGGTAATATTAAGCAAAATAAAAAAAAAATATATATATATGAGATTATGTATTTATGAAGTATTTTTTTTTCGAAGATAAATGCAATTCCCAGTGGTAATATTAAGCAGCACTTATGAATACAGATAATGTAACTTATCTTAACTTCGAATAAATTCTCTGTTTTTCTTTTTCTAAAATATATTTTTAATTAAATTATGCTGCTTATTATTTGGATATGCAAATGCATTCAGCTATGTTTTTAATTATATTATTCCATTTTAATATTTATAATATTTTATGCATTGTTTATTTTATGAGATTAATTAGATTTTATTTTATATGTTATGAAGTAAAGCTGACGAAAACCGACTTGTTGAAACCGGAAATGACAGACCGCGGTCCATCCATCGCTCCGCCCCTTAGCAACCACCGTCACGTCGTAGCAACCAGTGTTTACGTTTCTCTCAGGAGAGTCAGAGATGCCGCTGATAGTGAAAGATCACACATGGACACAAAACCAGAACACAGTTTACATCAGCCTGCCTTTAAAAGGAGTGAAAACCGCGAACATCCATGTCATCTGCACAGACGAGTATCTGAAGGTCAGAGAAAATGTGAAACGTTAACCTGGAGAAACACGCGACGGTGTGTTGTACTCGCTTCATGTGTTCTGAATGCTTCTGCAGGTGAGTTTCCCCCCGTTTCTGTTCGAAGTTTTCTTATTTGGGCCAATAAATGAGGAGAAAAGTGAAGCCAGGATTGGAAACGGGGTTGCAGTTTTCACACTGCAGAAGAGGAGAGATGAATTATGGGAGCAGCTCTTCACAAACATTGGTAGGAGGTCTTTCATTCTTTCACAACATAGAAATGTACTCAAGATGCTGTACTTGAGGCATATAGTTATCTTCTTCTTCTTCTTTCTTTTACTGGCAACCAGTGTTGCCAACTAATTTTCAGAGAAAGTTGCTAAAGGAAGGTCGATTTGTTGCTAAAAGTTGCTAAATGACGTCGTGACGCCATTGCTCAATGACGTCATTGCGTAATCACGACGCAAAATTGTCACGTCATCAAATCTCAGCAAAAAATATATTTTATGTGTTAATTTAGATTTGTTTGCAAAATAATATGCATGATATAATATTAAAATATAAATAACTGTATTTTTAAATACATTGAATTATTGAAAACTTACACATTTTTGAATGATTACAATTGTAGTTTTTTTAGTAGCTAGTAAACTAGTAATTCTACACATTCTCAACAATTATGCTTTAAGCAGTGTATTAGTAGTTAGTTAGTATGCTACACTCTAAGAAAAGTCTGTAAAAATAAGGCACAATCTACTATGTTAATATGAAATAATTTTCTGTAATGTTTTTTTTACCTGCATTTTAAATTACGCATTGTGTTTTCGGGTTACATGGTTACAATGGATGATGGATAATGTCCTGAAAGATTTTCAATTTTTCTTAGTGTACTAACTGATCAACAATTGCAGGTACAAGCTACTAACAAAGTGTATCATAAATGAACAAATATTCAATTATCAAATTATTCAATTATTATTATATTGAACAATTGCAAATATCAATTAACTCAATTCTCGTGATGTGTGTACTGCTAGGC